ACACCTCATGATCACACAGGCTGGTGTGCTTCTTCCATGTGGGCTTCATTGCTTCTCAGCTAAATGGCTCCTTGTTTATCTTCAAGCCTTAAAAACCAAACGCTATATGTTTTCATAGCCAGGCACCATCAGCTTTCTGCACCACATTTGCTTATGCACCCATTTTATATTCAGAGTGATCGTGTCAGGAAGGTGAGCATCACAGAAGGCCAGATTATTAGAACAAAGTGTTCGTGTGTTGAGGGAGTACTTGAGTTGAGGACATTGGGACACATTTCTATTCCCAGTAACTGCTGGTACGAATACAGAGCCCTCTGAGATTAAGTGACTATGCGTTAAAAGTTGCCGATGGCAACTGTTTTCTTAATGGTGATAGACATGATTGCCTATATTTTAATTTACTAGTATGCTTCCAAGGATGTTTAGGTCGCTCATGAATATCTTTTAGATGTTATCTTATAAGTGTTGACACATGTTATTTCCTTTGTCCCAAGTCACACCGCATGGAGCTCAGTCTTCCCTAGACCAAAGTGTCTCCGAGATAGAGAGGTGTTTCGAGGGCTTCTCTAATGGGACCCAATGCTGAGGTTAAATAAAAAGGGGCCACGCCAGAAAGTTCCCTTACAATGCAAGAGTCTGTTTCGTTACAGTTGCCTAGCTCTTGTCATCTGCATCTGTTAGTGAAGCCAACCCCAGTGACAGACAAGAAGTACATCAGAGATTTAACAGGATCTTCTCTTGAGCAACTGATCTTGCATAACAAGACTGCAGCAAGCTGTCAGTTCTGTATGTCCCTCGTCTCTGGACCTCTGCACCCTCTCCCACTCTGCATTTCTGCTGACCTATTATCCTCTCATGTTAAAGAAGAAAATGCTAGCTTGCTGCCTGCCTGGGAGTTTTCTGTGAGACTTCACTATTTGTAAGATGAGGGCTAGGTGTTCTAATGCCTTTCCCCACTCCCGCAATTTGGTAAAGCAAATTTAGCTAAATGGGAAGAACTACAGTTTCCGAGCTTAAAGCGCCATTGAAAATGCACATAGCACTTTATCACAAGCACCATTGCAATATGAAAGGATTGTCAAAGGAACAAGAAACAGTGGCTACATTTGCTTCCCATGTGAATGCTCCAGCAATCTCAAAATCTAGACTAGATGAGGTAGTTACTCCATGACCAGAAAGACCCCGCATAGTCATTCATTGAGAAGAGGGCCTTGGAGCATCTGTCTACAGTCTTGTTTATTTGTTTTTGTTTATGTTGTGATAAAGCAGTCTTTCTTCTCACTTTGTCATAGAACTCCGTGAAATACTCACACAGGGATTTGTGGGAGATCACACAATGATTCCATGAGATATTCACAGAATAATTTCAATGTCTGTCTAGTTGTCTTAGGTTAATAAGTTAATCATCATAATGCCAAGTGTTGATCTTCCCAATAACCCAATATTGTATTCACTATTCATCAATTCTTTTTCTATTTCCAAAAACATCTCCCTCATTATTTCAGAAAGATTGAATATCAGAATAAGCCGTATGTGGATACCTTTATTCACAAAACTGTTACAGAAGAGAAAAATATAATAAACTTGAGTAGGTCAGTTTATTTGATTACATTTTTTGTCTCCCCTAAAGACTTGCAACTTAAACAAATACATGCAGGAGAGGCTCAAATCTGTGCATGCTCCTAGAGTCCACTAAGTTGCATGCTCCCAGAGTACACTAAGTCTCATTTGTTTGCAGAGGTCATTTCCTCCCTCATATCATTCAGATTTTTAAAATAAATGGAGTTCTCTGAATTTGGTCATTCTTCCTGGCAGTAAAGGAGCCCTGGTGGTGAGTGGGTTACATGTTGGGCTGCTAGGCTAGTCACAATAGCAGCGGTTCAAAACCACCAGTTGCTCCACAAGGGGAAGATGAGACTTTTTGCTCCTGTGAAGATTTTAACCCAACGAAACCCCAAAGGGCAGCTCCACTCTGTCCTCTGAGTAGGGCTAGAAGTCTGAATTGACTCAGTGGCAGTTGGGTTTTTGGACTTGTTTGTTTTATTGGCAGCGAGCACAGAGAAAGATAAACCATATTTAAAATAAAACCCCAGGGACACGCAGCCATGGCCAGTAACATAATAAATATTAAATATGAATCTGTTCATATCCCAAAGATATCCAGGAATTAGCACTGACTAACCACAAAACCTATTGCTGCCTTAGGACAGAAGGAGCCCTGGTGGCACAGTGAGTTGAGCATTGGGCTAAAAAACACAAGGTCACAGTTCAAATCCACCAGTAGCTCCACAAAAGAATGATGGGGATTTCTACTCCTGTGAAGATTTTAAGCCTCAGAAACCCGAAGGGGCAGTTTTACTCTGTTTTATAGTGTCCCTAGAAGGCAATGACCTCCACAGCGAGGAGTTTGATTTTGGTCTCAGAGCATATGCAAACCCTAAAGTTGTCCAGTAGATGGAGCAAGGCTAACGCCAAAGTAGGATTCTATCGGGTTCTTCCTGGTTCAGTTAAGGCCAACAAAGGGAAACTGGAACAGACTGGGAATTGCAGTGTGTGGGCATCCGGAATGATAAGGGAATAAAGGAAAGTATGAATTGATGGCCTTCAAAAAGGCCCCATGAGCCTCTAACCAGATGCCGCTCTAAAAGACAACAGTAGAAACTCTCTCAAGCATGAACACCTTTACTACGGTTAAGAACCTTCATGAGGAGTTCCCTCTGGGACAGAGAGCAAGGATACTGGGACTCTGACTAGTTGGAACTAAGGGAGTTTCATATAATGTTGTATGCTTACTGGAGTAATGCATATTAATTTTGAATGGGGAAATTCCAAGAAGCCCGGCCCACAGGTGAGGTCATGGTAATAGGGTGTGCTCACATCCATCTCGCAAGGTGGTTTAATATTGTAAGGGGCCCTGAGATGGTGCATTGAACTTATTATGGGATGGCCTTTCCTGTTGGCAAGTCATTCTGAATCAGAGGTCGAATCTTGCTATCACTGCTGGACATGTGTCAAGTCCCTCCCAAGCCATCCTGAGGGATCAACAGGAAGGGTTAATATACAAAGAGAACCATTCAGGTATAAACATGATATGTGACCTTTTGGCTAAAATCATAGACATGGTATATAATCTTTCAGTTGAGTGTAATACAGCTAAGTTTATAGTGATAATCTATATTCCTTTAGTTACGCAAATGCTTTAAATCAGTCAACAGTTCAAAGACAGTGAGAGAGTCCGATCTTGCATCCTGTCACTTTCTAAAATTCCATTTTTAATTTTCCCACTTGCAAATACTTTCTTGAGGTGGCACATGCTGTTGCCTTCTGAAATTCAGCTGTCAGGGTTCCCCATTTCCCCATTGTTAACACTTTCTTGGGTATGCCTCATAATCCTTTCTTGGAAATACTACACTTTCTTGGGCGCATCTCACCGCTCACCCAAGCTCAAGCCTTTCCAGAGCTTGATGAGCGGATTGCATTGTTGCCAGGACCTTGGAGAGTGACAGACACTCTGTTCACTGTCATCTTTGAGCAGGGCTTCTTTGTTTGAGACTCGAGTTTTGATTATTATGCAACACACACACTACCCTGGCTTTCGAAAGGGGAGGTTGTGTTTTTATCAGGAAGGCAAACCATAATTTTCCTATTCTAGGTATTGTTCCAGGTACCCACATTTTACAAATTCTAGTCTGTCCCTGGATTTCATTGGCCATAACCGTACCAGGAAGAATTGCTTCAGAGTTCCACTCCAAGCCTTTGGGAAAACAAGAAAGTGTCCATATTTTGAAATGTTGTAAACGTCACACTAGAGGACAAAAAATTGCTATACAACTTCTGAGATACTACTTTTTAATTCAGGTTTTCTAACTGAACATGATCCTAGTGATACCTATTGCCTTTCTCTTTACTGGTAAATTTAAGAAATCTGGGCAGTGTTAAAATAGTAAAATAAAAATAACTAAAGTTATATACATGCTTATTCCACTTAGCTTAATCTACTGGATGTATTTACCTTTCCACAAATAATTGAGATATGCAGATCTATTGTTTTTCCATGTGATTTATCCACAGTGGTAGCATAAACATAAAAGATTTTTAAGTATGAAAGACCTTAGAATGGAAAGGAAGAATTGAATGATCTTTACCGATACATACAAAGAGCAGGGCTCTCTTGTTTACTAATTGATAGCCAATACTCTTATCCTCAAAGCTCCTTAAGAAATTTTTGTGAACAATCCAAATATAATTACTTATTTCTTATACAATATTCAGATAAGCATTCTCAATGAACTAATTTAGAGACTCCTCAAGAGAACACTGATGTTTTATCACAATGTTAATCAGAGAAGCCAGGAGTTATTCAGAATGGAAAATGCATTTCACAACTGAGTAGTCACAAAGTTCTACAGTGATTTCCTTTTCCCCCAAGACCACTGTTAAGTTTTGATTTTACAACACTTCCAAATAATCCTGGGATGATCTCCGTGTAGCAGATTCCTTCAGCACAATTAAGAGCGATGCATGGGACATGTTTTCCAGGTATGAAGACAACCATGTGTTTTTCCTGCTGGCCTTTGTTGCCATTAACATGCTATATTGTAATTTACGGATTATATACTTATTTCCCCAAGTAGGTTGTAAACTGCATACGAACATGCTTTCCCCTTTATAGTCCCTAAGGTCCCCGGTTTTCAAATACATGTACACGCCACTACTAGCTTAAGGGTGGAACCCACCCATAGCTTCCCAGAAGGAAGACCTGACTAAGCGTTTGTAGAGAAAACTCCGTGGGGCCCTTGTTCTCTGTACCACATGGGGCTGCCGCGAGACACAGCAGTAATGAGTTCAGCTTTGTTTTCTTTTGTCCTCAGTCTGGAGCAGGATGTGACATGCAGTAAGTGCCAAACAACGCCTGTGGAGTAGAAATGAGGCTAGTTTAAAATTGCAAGTACATCAAAAAGGTTCAGAGCCACCAGTATGTGCAGCCGTCACAATCTGATCTTTTTAAAGGTGACATCAATGAGTGATATCTCAGGATGTGGTGGTCCCTTGGCTCAGACTCCCACCGAGAACTGCAGGTGCTCTTCCTTGAAAATAATCTGGCTCCTTCTCACCTGTGGGAACACAAGAAACACAATTACATGGTGAAGAGACCTAGGAAGAACCCTGTATTAGTCTGGGTACTTTAGAGAAACAAATCCACAGAAACTCATGTATAAGAGAGAGTTTTATATAAAGGTTAAGTGTGCATCAAGAAAACATCCCAACCAAGTGTTGCCCAAGCCCACAAGTCCAACATTAACCCGTTAACCCAAATGTCCAAAACAGGTGCAGTGATGCCAACTGCAGGAGAAAAGCCGAGTCAGTGAGTGTGTAAGCATCTCAGTGTGGGCAGTGGTCTCCACACGGCTGCTCCAGCACCCAGGGCTGCATTGGGGTAGGTCCATGTGGCTTCTCCTCAGGGATGGCTAGCAGGAAGTCAAACTTGCTAGCTGAAGCAGGGAACTGGCTAAGGTAGCTGTACCCTGGGCCAACCATCGGAAAGCAAGAGCCCTGAGAACTAGAAAGGTGAGGCTCACCAAGCCATTTATCCCTCCGCCCTTCAATTAACCCCACATGTGTTTATCGGCCAGGTTGGCACAACAAACTAAACTAACCTCAAACCCCATCTTCTACTTCTTGGGACTTGAATATGGTTGGAATAACCGAGCAGCAGTTTGCATCAGCATTGTCCGTATCTTCTTATGCTGTCGTTGCTAGCAGCTGGGAAGTTGATTTTCATTCAGAGCAACTGTAAGCACAACAGAACACAACTCTATCCTGGCTGGAACCCTCCTGACAACCATCGCTGCAGCCACCATGTCGACTCATTGAAGATCTTCTTCTTCTTTCTTTTGTGGACCCTCTACTTTCCCAGAAATGAAGGGGGACTAATCCTTTCTGATGACATATCAGAAAAAGTGTGAGAAAGCATGCCCCCTCATCCTCCCTTACACAGAAGATCCTGGCTGCCCTTCGTTCAAGATATATTTCTTGGTTCTTCTGGCACTTTGAACATCCCTGACCAACACAGTCATCCACACGCATCGATTCTGGAGTTTTGTGTGCATCTGAGGGGAGTAGAAACACTGGGGCTTGAGTCAGGAACCCCTTCAAGGTGACCTGTTTGCCCTTTATCACTCATGTAGAAAGAGCCAGCAAGAAAAAGCAAACCAAATGGACAGCATACTTCCTCTTAGTTGATGGCTGTCAACAGGATTTTTTGCCACTATTTCGAAGTGTTTCTCAAAATTCAGAAGCAGGCTGTATTCAGAACATTCAGAAGGCCAAGTATATGCCTTTACCAAAAATGTTTGAGAATGTTTAACACTACCTAAGTAGTGGATGCTGTTAATGTTTCTCCATTATATAACAAGGTCTAAATTATATCTCGACCCCTACAATCACCCCATCAGGATGATTGCTGTAAATCTTCACTGCTTTCCAGAAACCATCTACAGGGATATAAGAATTTGGCATCAAGATAGTTGGGAGATGCATTAGTCAACCGTGATATGTAGGTGACAGCCAAGAGAACTTACAACACTTACTGGTAAAGGTCATCAAAGGTGAATGTCTTCAGGATGTATTATGCCTCAACCTAAGAAAACAAAATTCCTCACACCTGAACCAATAGGCAACATTGTGATAAACAGAGAAAAGACTAGAATTGTTAAGGATTTCATCTCACTTGGGTCCTTAATCAGTGTCGCTGGAAGCAGTAGTCAGGCATTCAAACAAGATATTGCACTGGGAAAATCTGCTGAAAAAGTCTCACTAAAATGTTACTTTGAAGCCTACAGTGCACCTCACACAGTCCTTGATATTTCCTGTCGTCTCATATGCTTGTCCAACTGGAGAATGAATAAGGAAGGCTGAGGAAGAATTGGTGCCCTTCGATTATGATATGGCAGTGAATATAAATATGCCATGGATTTCCAGAATAACAAGCCTGTCTTGGAAGAAGTAAAGGCAGAATCATCCTTAAAAGTGAAGTGGTGAGCCTTTGTCCCTTGTACTTTAGATGTTTTATCGAGAGGGACCAGTCCCTAGAGAAGGACATCATACTTGGTCAGTAAAAGAAAAACAAGAGGGGGAAGATCCGTGATGAGAGAGATTGACACTGGCTACAACGGTGGCCTCAAACCTAGGAACAATGTGAGGATGGTGGAGGATCAGACAGTGCTTCCTTCTGTGTGCACGGGGTCAGTGTGACTTAACAGCACCCAACAATGTAACAGCATAAGCATATATAGTCACCTACACACACACATACACATAATACTTACCTATACAAAAATATATACATATATGTATATTTTTTAAAATTTTGAATCACATTCCACATACTGTCCTGTAACTTACTTTTTCAAAACATGCTACTTGCTCTAACTGTGAGTAATAGTTCATCATGAGGTTATAACATAATATAATCAACCAAATCTCACTATTGGCCAATCTTATGGTTATTTACAATTTCTCACTTTTATAATCCTGCTGTGTAGATCTTTACATTTAGCTTTGCACATATGCATGATTCTATCTGTATGGGAAAATTCCTCATAGTGAACTTGCAGGAACAAAAGGAATTCACCTTTTAAATCCTATTAGGTATTCCTGAATTGTCCCTGAAACAGTGCTTGGAGGTCTTTGTCACCATCTGGGAATATGAGCACTCCCCTGCCAATCGTAACTAATTCCCTCTCTGTCTTTATACTCAGAAAAAGAATACCCAGTATATCTAACATTAGTTCAAAATAATTAGTTCAAAAATATAATAACTATGAATACGTATCTTTTTAAAGAGAGCAGAAAGGTAGGATAGAGGGGCTTATTCTTCATGGTTTACATCAGAGTGATTTGTGTTATTTTTTGCAAGCACAAAAGTCATACTATAACAAAACACAGAAGGATAGGGACATAATCAATGGACGTATAAATTCCATTTGGCTTTGTGAGAACCCTGCTTGCTGAGATAAAAGAAGCACGTTGCAGGCTTCAATCAGAAAAAAACACTATTACCCACAATTCCTTCCAACTTCTCTGTTCAATGATGCACCAATGACAATACAATAAATCTGGTTGCTCATGAGAGCCCAGTGTAAGTCCCAGTTAAAAAGGTAACATTTGGAGACCTGTGTCATCATACATCATTTGGAGGAGTCACTGGCATGCTCTGGAGAGGGACACTGCTCTGATTTTTTCCCTTTTTTGTCACACACTCCTCTAGACATCACTGTCTTGTTGAATGCAGTTGATTCTCTGCCATATTTCCTCGCTTTCTGCCACCTTCCATTACTTAAACTTAGATAAATCTCTTCACTTGGCAGAAGCAGTTGAATATACAGTCTCTTCAGCGAGCAGTGATCAATACCTGCACAGAGATAAGCTGGGCAACAAAAGGTGGTTGGAGCAATAGGACTCTCTCCTTTCTTCTGTGATTATGTGTCATGTTTGAAGGCCTTTGACCTTCACCAGGTAATTCATGATAATACTACATGTTTTTAAGAGGACGTGACCACGAGATGGGCAGCAACCTGATGGTGTGATAAACGTACATGATAGGTTTTCAGGGATGGGATAAGGAATCTGGACCCTTGATTTTTGTAACCCAAATCTTCCCAGGCCTGGAAGTAGATGAGATTCACAGTATACATGTTAACAGGAATTACAGTGACATTGGCCCATATCCCTTTTCAAGGCCCCTTAAAGTCTGACCCAATTCTTCAGAAAAGAAGTTCACCCGAATGTGTTCGCAGTTCCAGCCACAGCTATCATGCGGAATTTGCCATGTTCTCTCTGGCCTCTGGCAACCTCCCCCAGAGAACTGGCTCTCTGCGAAGTCATGTTTGCTCTGACTCTTTCTGTCAATAAGTCAATCTCCTGACCCCAATTTTCCAGAAGCTACTGTGATGCCGCATTCCTTGAGGTAGTGGCAGCATGGTCTTCTCTGCAACACTGCATGCCTTGAAATATTTGGGCACCAACCCACATTTGCGTCAGCTGTTTGTTTCACATTCCCTCGTAGAAGCAGTTCCTTCGGGCTCTACCTCTGATTCCTCCCTACAGGACTTAATGTACCGGGAAGTGTCTGGCACTGGGATACAGGAACCAACAGACATAGGTTGGGCTTCTTCATTGCTGATTCCCATTTCTCCTGAATCTACTTCCACTCAGGCATATCAACCTTGCAAAAAGAGGCCTGGAGAGCCCACCTCTAGTGGCTAATCAGTCCTCCTCTCAAAAGTGTTTCTACTTCAAAAATTGGATTTCTAGTGAAATCCCATAGCTCAAAAGAGAAGTTATATGCATATCTGCATTTTATATCTCCTATGCAAAGTAAAACAGTTGCCATTAAGTCATTTCTGACTTATGGCAACTCCATGTATCCGAGTAGAATTGTGCTCTGTAGTGTTTCGGTGACTGGTTTTTGAGAAATAGATTGCCAGATCTTTCTTCCAAGGTGCCCCTTTGTGGATTTCAACCCCCAATGTTTCCCTTTGCAGTTAAGTGAACTAACCATTTGTAATAACCTCAAATTGCATATGAAATGTAGGCCTGTGTAATTAGGTTTTTACAAACTACATTATAATGGCCTTCTGGACTTGCCCTTCACACAGAGTTGTTGAAGTATTATTTATTTTAGTTCACAATTTTGAGCACATTTGAGTATGCTGTGTTCCTGCCAGGAATTTTCCATGTAAAATCAGTAATGAAACCAAATTTATGGTGCCAGTTAAGACTAGAGGACTTCCCAAGATTATTGCCCTCAGAGAATCTTTAGTTCTTGAACCAAAATTATCCCCAAAAGTCACTTTTTACTGAAATAACAGATTATCATACAAATTAAAGGATATTGCCCATCAGTATGGTGATTCATTAAAGAAAAAAATGTATAAGATACCAATAGATCAACAATTACTCCAAAACAAGGATGAGAGGATTAGGGGGGAGGGAAACGAGAGCCTCAAAATAGAACAACCTGAATTCAACGGGAGAGAACATGGACACATTTGAAAAATGTAACTACTGTCACTGAACAACACAGAAATTGTCAAATGGGACCTAATTTGAT